ATAAACTTGGATTACTTTGATGTTGAAAGGTCTGCCTTGGATTCATATTGAAATCATTCTGTGATTTTTTTAGATTTTATCCCTGTACAGCTTTTCCCACTCTTTTGTTGACTCTGAGGGCTAATCAGTTTCTTCTATGTGTGAATAAACTTGGATTACTTTGATGTTGAAAGGTCTGCCTTGGATTCATATTGAAATCATTCTGTGATTTTTTTAGATTTTATCCCTGTACAGCTTTTCCCACTCTTTTGTTGACTCTGAGGGCTAATCAGTTTCTTCTATGGGATCCTTGCCCACAATAGTAGAAATGATAATCATCTGAATTGAATTCCCCCATTCCTGTCCATTTTAATTCACTGATGCCCAGGATGTCAATGTTCATTCTTGCCATCTCCTGTTTGACCACCTCCAGCTTACCAAGGTTCCTAGATCTTACATTCCAGGTTCCTATGCAGTATTTTAATTTGCTGCATCGGGCTTTCCTTTCACTTCCAGGCACGTCCACAGCTAAGTGTCCTCTTGGCTTTGGCCCAACCACTTCATTAGCTCTCGAGCTACTTGTACTTGTCCTCCGCTCTTCCTCAGTAGCATGTTGGACACCTTCTGACCTGAGGGGCTCATCTTCCAGCATCATCGCTTTTAGCCTTTTGTTTTTGTCCATGGAGTTTTCTTGGCAAAGATACTGGAGCTGCTTGCCAGTTCCTGCTCCAGGTGGATCGTGTTTAGTCAGAACTTTCCACTATGACCCACAGCTTCTCTGAATTACTCAATCCCTTTTGCAAGGACAAGGCAGCAATCCCTGAAGGGGATGAATTACAATAGGGACAGTTTATAGTAATGCATTGCTGCTGGGAAAATGTATTTTCTCCTCACCTACTGTGAGGATTTAGCTAATCTCAAGAGGAAACAAGGAAGTGACTGGGGAGGGAAACAAATTATGTCATCATTCCTGATAAACAAAAGGGCACATCCTTCTGTCTTATGAGCTTTGTCTCCAGTACACCATCACTTGAAAGTGAAGCCCATTAAACTTATTGTAGTAGGCTGCACTATAAAATATATTTAAATTGATGAAAACTGAGTCATGGTAATGATTATTTTTTTCCCCCAAGGTGAGAGATGAGAGGAACATGCTTAAGGTTGTTACTCGAATTCACAGAATTTCAATGATCCTTAAGTTACTTGTGGAGCAATTTTCTGTTCTGGAAACTATGACAGCCCTGGACTTTTTTGACTTCAGGTAAACAGTGTAATGTTTTTAGTGCATTTAGGTGTGAGACTAAGGGTTACTATACAATGTGTTTAATATGTTTTTAGAAGTAGGGAAATAACATCTCTTTGTCATATGATTTTCCTTATCTTGTGTCTTGCACTTAACCTTTTTGACTGATAATTTAAACATAAACCCAGAGAGAAAACAGCTTAATAGTAAGGGATATACAGTACATTTCTTTCAGTGTCTGGTTTGCTTTGAAGCTTTGTGGCATAAACTTTATGGAAAAGGTGGACTTTGAGAAGGAACTAGACAAAGTGAGAGAGCTGGCATAATCAAACAAGTGTGGGGGGCATCCTGGAACCCCAAGTGTTTACTAATATAAGCTTCCCAATCGAGTGTGCTAAAATTATATAACAAGAACTACCCAGTGAACACTACTTTATATCCTATGAATTCAATATTCTAGTTGGGACTAGCAGTTGGATTCAGGCCTAGATCTGCAATCTTGAGTGTATGTACTTTCAAGTAAGGCTCAGTTAATGTGTTGAGGGTTCCTTTTGAGTAAGTATAGGGAAGATCAGAAAGCTGGAAGTCACGTTTGGTTACAGTGAAGTCAGGATTTTTTTCTTTTATAAAATATTTTACAACAATAACAAATATGTATCTAATCTTCATATTTGTTTAAAGTTTTCTCTCTCTTTTGTTCTTAAAAAGAAACTAGTTTGTTCACTCAAACTTTTTCTTTTTTTAAAAAAATGTTTCTCCTCAAAGAGATTACTTGAGCCCAGCTTCAGGATTTCAGAGTTTACAGTTCCGACTGCTGGAGAATAAGATTGGTGTTCCTCAGAGTCTGAGAGTTCCATACAACAGAAGACACTACAGGGATAACTTCAAGGAGGAAGAGAATGAATTGTTGCTGAAATCCGAACAGGAGCTCACTCTACTACAACTAGTGGAAGTATGAGTTTGCATCTACTATATCTACTATATCTGCCACAAAGAATTTAAATAACTAGCTGTTTTCTTTCATCTGCAATGGATATAGATGCCAGCAAGAGCTTTTAGCTAATTGGTCCTATTATGCAACATGTTAAATGTTCTATAGGGCATGTGCATATCTCAGTGTTAAAATGAAACCATTTTCTTTCTTGCTTGGTACTATTATCTGCAATTTATAATACGGTGAGTACTCACTTATTGTTGCACAGGATATTTTAATATGTTTTTAAAAGGGCCATTTTCAAATAGAAGTGGTTATAGATTGAAAAATATATTAACAACATATTAGGTCAGAGTGAGGAACAAGTAGCTGTCTAGACCAACCTTGGGTAACTCAGGTGTTCTTGGACTGCAGTTTGCATAAGCTTTCACCACCAGCTGTGCTAGCCAGGGTTTCTGGGAGTTGCAGTCCAAGAACACCTGGGTTACTCAAGTTATTTGCTCTAGATCAGTGGTTCTTAACCTTTGTTACTCAGGTGTTTTTGAACTGCAACTCCCAGAAACCCCAGCCAGCACAACTGGTGCTGAAGGCTTCTGGGAGTTGCAGTCCAAAAACATCTGAGTAACAAAGGTTAAGACCCAGTGCTCTAGATTAGTGGTCTCCAACCTTGGGCCTCCAGATGTTTTTGGACTTCATTTCCCAGAAATCCTGACCAGCAGAGGTGGTGGTGAAGGCTTCTGGGAGTTGTAGTCTAAGAACATCTGGAGGCCTGAAGTTGGGGACCACTGCTCTAGATGATGTTGGAGTGCAACCCCTATCAGCACTCTCCAATACAGCCAACAGGAAGGAATGTTGGGATCTGCAGTTCAATAATGTCTGGAGGGCCACCTATTCCTCACTCATAAAAGAATAAAGATATAGAATAATAAAATAAGGCTGAATGTTTGCTTTTGTGACTCAGTTGGGCATGAGGTTCTGAATGAATACAATGGAAGTCAAATGTCCTTTTTCTTGTGTTTAGCAATGTTGTCTGAGCACTATCCCTGAGCACATGCACATATACCCAGCACGTATATGCATCTTGGCAGTGTGCCATAAATATAGCAGAATAATCAGAGCATTTATTCACAGGGAATGGGACTATACTGATTTTGTTTCATGTTAAGAGTGGCATCAGAGAGAAATATCAACATGGCTTTGTAGGCAGGGTAGATTTGACTTTAACAGTATATGTTGAGGTGCAAAGATACAAAGGAATACCTGCAGGATCTAGTTGATGTAAAATATATCATTGACTTGACTTTACACAACTTGCAAGAAGGAAGTCAAATCTAAATTTAGGGTTATCAAAAATATTTTTAAGTTCATTCATATCCATAATCCTTTCTCATCATCACTGTTTAGCATGCTTGGTTAAATATATTAATCAGATAATGTAACCTACATAATAAAATGATGGTTAATCTATTTTGTTTCATAAGTCGTGGCTGGAGCGGACACCTGGACTTGAATCAGAAGGATTTAATTTCTGGGGAAAATTTGAAGTGAATGTACTTAAAGGATTAGAAGAGGAATTTGCAATGGTGCAGGTACATGTTACATTCTGTCATGGATTGTGTTAGAACTGATTAATAAATCCAGCCATCCATTGATGGCCCCTGAGTGCAGCTACTTGAATAAGAGAATATCTGTTTGTGAGTAATTTCCTCTGTTTCGTGTGTATACGTGATCATGCATGCATGTGTGCATACATATAGGTATATTAATAAGCACAATTTAAGTGTGGCAGAGTAACTCTTATGTGTAATATAAGGGCAAGGAAAAGCTAGGGGCACGGTATGGTTTTAAAAACACCTGGATTGCATGAAGTGAGAAATCTTGTTTTGAGGTGATATCCAGAACTTCAAAAAGTTACTTTTTTGGACTAAACTACTCAGATTTCCCCAACCAGTGGCCCTACTGATTTTTGGGGATTCTGGGAGTTGTGGTCTCCAAAATGTTACTTTTCCAAGTCCTGGTAATACATAAATAACATACGTTGTCACATTACTGATTTTTAAATGGTCATTCATGTAGCTGACTATATGTATGACTCAAGCTTTTGCCTTTATTGTATACACACGACATGAGAGAAATCTTTGATAAATGTAGTAAAGTTCTCTGGGTGTACTTTTTACAGAATAAATTAATGTGCATAAAGTAGGCTCTGGTTTCAAGTACATAATTAGAACAAAATGGATGATTGTATTGTCTTCTAACTGGTATACAACATGCCTTGGTATCCACTGTCAGAAAGGAAGGCAGTTGACTTACTGAAGGAAAATTATGAAAATGTCTGCATGATCTTCACTTTATTGCATTGGATCTCAGGTCAGAACAGCCAACTTCACAAGTCGGATTAGACTGTAGAAAAGAATTCAAAGTTCTGTTGTGCTTTGGCTGCTAAGGTGATTTTTAAACACAGGTGTAGACCATTGCAAAAGGAAGGGCTGTTGGATTGAGACTATCATGGGTTAAAAGGATATTTGTGAAAATGTGCATACATAGGAAAGACAAGAAATGAGGAAACAACTCTATGTAAATAAACAAAATAAAGTTTTATGCTGTTTCTAAGACAATAATTATTCTGATTGAAAGGCCAAACCAGACTCTGAGGAAAAAGAAGACCAACTGGCAGAACTTCAGAAACAAAAAGAAGTGCTTATTTCACTATTCGATGAAAAACGCCATGAACACCTTCTTAGCAAAGGTAGGAAGATTTGTATCAGTGTACAAATTTGTAATTCCTCTTTCTAGTATAATAGCTTGAGCTAAGACATTATAGTAGAAGTAATATATTAAATTATTTAGTAGATGTTGCATTTTGCAGGTGAAAGAAGGCTATCCTATAAAGCAATGAAAGGAGCTTTAATGATCTACTTCTACAGGTATATGCCATGGGTTTTATCCTTTGCATTGTCTCTGCTATTAGTTGTTTTGTTTTTCTCATTCAATGAAAAATCCTACCTTCTTTGCTTCCTAAATATTCATGTCATCTTTTGCAATCATACTCAGGATTTCTGAAAATAAACTATCCTGAGCATTTGGTTTTTTTTTTAAAAAATCCCCACATTTGCAAGGAAAATCAGATTGATTGCAAAAAGTGTATGCTACTTTTTTGGGATGTTTTCTCGCATTTCACAATGAGATACCTGTCGTTTGGAAGGTCTCAGCCCTAATATCTGCCAGTAGCTTCCACTTCTACCCTACCAAACACTGCTGTCCATGACTTCCCCCTTCTCCTGACAACAGCCCAAATCTTAGGGTCCAAATGGATGTTAATACAAAGGCATATTCCCTGTCATTAGCCCATTTGTTTCCCAAAATGCCAATTTTTTTTTCAGACAGGAGCTTCACTGGGTAGGTTTGAAAATAAAGCCTGTATTGACCTTCCAATGACCAATCATAAAACAAAGTAGCATGCAAAGTACAGAGTGAGAGAAAATCATGCAGATGTCTTCCACAACTTTAAAGAGTTCTGCTTCTCAATACAGGCTAAATGTATTGTTAAACCGGTATTGTTAAACTAAATATATATGGAGACACAAACAAATATACATAAATTTAGAGCCAAGTACGCCATTATAAGCATATTTACTAGGGCTCACTGAAAAAAGCAGGACTTTCTTCTAACCTGCCATGCACAGGAATACACTATTAAACTTTACATCTTGTACAGAAAAGAGTTGAAGTTTAGTTGTTGATTTGGAGATAGCAAGTAACTGTACTTTGTTGAGATGGAACAATCAGTGTGGGCCTCCCTCTCCTTAGCTCTGTGTCTTTTTTGCTAATAAATTTACTATTAATTATGTCCGAGTTATTCAGTTGTAGTAGACTACTGAGTGGCTCTAGGCAAGCTCATGTTTAGTAGCACATTGTATATACATTTTTTTTAGTATGTTATTTCCATTTTTTCCTCTGACTTTAAAATGCTACTGTTGAAATAGAATTTAAGGATTATAACAAGCTTGCTTCTTTTTGTCTTTCCTTAAGGGAAGAGCCTCGCTTTCAGGTTCCTTTTCAGCTTCTCACTTCTCTTATGGATATTGATGTGCTGATGACTAAATGGAGATGTAAGTGTTCTCTATAGTATTCCTATAATAGGTCTATATCACTGTGATTCACCTTGCTTGATGCAATTGTCATATTTTCTCATTTTAAAGAGATTTTAAAGAGAAGTTACTAATTAAAGATATGGCTAATTAATTCATGTCTCTCCTGAAGAACAGTAAAGGTAAAGGTTCCCCTTGACATTCAGTCCAGTTGTGTCCAACTTTAGGGGGCAGTGCTCATCCCTGTTTCCAAGCCATTGAGCCAGACAGTTTCTGTGGTCATGTGGCCAGCACGACTAGACACGGAATGCCGTTACCTTCCCACTGTGGTGGTACCTATATATCTACTCGCATTTTTACATGCTTTCGAACTGCTAGGTTGGCAGGAGCTGGGACAAGTGACGGCAGCTCACTCCGTCGTGTGGATTTGATCTTATGACTGCTGGTCTTCTGACCTTGCAGCACAGAGGCTTCTGTGGTTTAGCCCGCAGTGCCCCCACGTCCCTATTGAAGAACAGTAGGTCTTGCTGCCACATATGCATGAGTACTAGAACCAGTTACAAACCAGTAGCATTTAGGGTGAAAGAGATTGCTTAATTGGCAGGTTGTCAATCAAGAATATAGGTGCTCTCTGAATGCAAACAAAAAGAGTAGATAGTCCTCAGAGCTTGGAAATGTTACTTACTTAATGGATTACATTCCCAGAATGCCCCTGCTATTTGTGGCCACTCGCCATACTGCCTGTGGGATTCTGAGAGTTGTAGTCCAGAAAGGTGTAACATTTCCCAGTTCTGGATAGGCCTATGGTTTTCATGTAGTAAGTACTTTCACCTTTTCTGCTTAGACTGCTGAGGGCATTCGGCCTACATCCCACCACAAGTTCCATCTGGAATAGAACTACTGAATCGTATTGGCTTACCCTTTGTCCACTGGTTTCAGTGAGTCTACTCTAGTTGGAACTTGCAGTTGGACTCAGGCCTAAGCATATATGAATTTGTATTTCTGTTTCTCAGTCTAAACTTTTCCCCCTTGAATGTGGAAAATGGGCAATGGTATACAGCAGTAAGTACAGTGGTTACATGATTGCACTATATAAATCAAGAAGCAGCAAAGTGACATGAATTACTTTGTTGCTGTGAAGTCACTCAGGCAACCTATTTTATCTCAGCCTCCCCTAATTCTCGCCTCCAAAGCAAGAATAATATTGAACTACTGCAGAGTTTTCGTTGCAAATATCACAAGGGGTTAAATCCATCTTTCCATGACAGTTGCAGTGGAGCTTTCACCCCTTCTCCTCTGCTTCATCTTTCTACACAACCCAGCTTGGGAGAGTTTCTTAGCCCTCCAGTGCAGTTTTAGGAAGACTGCCATGGAAGATGCAATGTGCTTTTCTGTGTTCAGCTCAACCCTACCATCTGACTGGTGGGATACAACAATGGGCTTCTCCTCAAGATAGTGCGTGTGAAGTAGTTGAAACATTTAGAAGTTCAGATGCTATCCCAGCATATCCTGGGCTGAGTTCTATTCAACTCGGTGGGACTTGCTCGTGCAAACACATGTATAGGATGATGCTAACAAGCGCAATATGCATGCTAAGATTTATAACGCAACAGGAAGAAAAGTAACCGAATTTAAACAGATATTTGTGTCTTGTAACACAGATAAACAAAATGACTCCTGCAGTCAGTGGTTCAACTGTGAAACAGAATGAACTTTGTGTGTCACAAAATGAAACCCTAAAACAAATTCTCTCTGTGCTTAGATAACCATGTGTGTATGGTGCACAGAATGATTGGCAGCAAGGCTGGGACAGGAGGCTCATCGGGATATCACTATTTACGTTCTACCGTGAGGTAGGTCTGCGGAGTACGTAAGGAATGACTGGAATTCTGCATAAATGCTATAAGGAATAACAATAGGTTGTATAGCAAGGGTAAACAAACTTCTTCAGCAGTTTTTGGATGGCAACTCCTGCAACCCCTTACCATTGGTCATGTTGGCAAGAGCAGTGGTCCAGAAACATCTGGAGGACTGCAGTTGGCTACCATGGCTTGACAAGGCAATAGTTCTGTGCTACAGTCACCCACCTATGAGTTACATGGCACATATACATGACATAGCAGTGTGAACATGAAATGATGCACTAGAATTTAGTCCATCTATTGACAATGATTGACAGAAGGTTGAGGGCTAAGGTCTTGGAATCTGAATCCCCACTGTGTTTCCTGAGAGAAAGGTCCATCAAGATCACGTGGAATATGTGTGGCTGATGGGATTACATATCCTGAACGCTTGTGCGAGCTGCATAATCCCAGAGCACCACCCAGAAAAAGAGATGAAAACCCATTTCTGAGTGCTTCACAGCTGGAAAACCCTGGAGGATCACCATAAATCACAACTGACTTGATTGCACATAATTATCAGGGCTACTGTATGCAAAATTAATGTAGCAAACCCATCAGTAAGATATGATGACCATTAACTTGTTCTGACAGAGAACCTTTGTTCTGCTTTGGTCAGAATTAGTGTTAATGGGTACTCACAAAGGCTTATCAGGTGAATATGTCTGCACAGTTACATTTCAAGCAGCAACCTACGCAGCAGCTTGAACAAATAAATCAGGCCATGGTTGGCTTAGCTTCAAAAAGGGACTGGGGAGGTTAAATACATGTAGCTTAGATGTTCAGATCACCCAAGCAAATGGGTAGCCAATGATGAAAGGTGGATGGATTGGAATAGCAATTCAGCAACATTTTGAGGCTCTTGTGTTAAGAGTTTTAGATGTCCTGGCCTAAGCTCAACCCCTTGAAAACAAATGCCAGGAGTTCTGGGAAAGCAGTAATGAGCACCATTGCTATCTGAGTAGGATTTATGCCTACTGTTGATGGGTTAGCCTACATATTTGACCTTTTTAGTTCTAATGCTTTCCTTTTCCTTTACAAGCTGTATTAGTGAAAGACTATCTTTTAAAAAAAGATAAAAAGAAAGAAGGCTTATTGAGCATGATTCTCATGGAGAAATAAGAATCCATACTGGTTTTTCTTATATACTACTAATGGACTTACTTTCATTAGTGGACATTTTACTCTAAGCAGCAGAGGCTTTGCTTTCATTTTTATTTTTGCTTAAATAAAGGCTCTGCTACAGTAGCCAGAATCTTGTTTTTGTTTCAGACATGCAACAGCTTGTTCCAGGGGTCTTTAAAAACAAAACAAAAACAATTGCACTAAAAAGGGGGCATTCTTTAATCCCTTGATCATGCATAAACTTTCTTGCTTTTAACAGAGTGATCTTCAGTTTATGTAATTCCAGGCCAGAAATCACTGGAGTGATCCACCCACAGAGTACTTGCTATTAGCAATTGCTAATAGGATTCTGGCTCGCTTTGTTACAAAGAATCCTGTAGAAATCTATTTTGCTTCTTGTCACTGCACCACATTCTGTTTCTATGAACCCAGCACATTATGGGATTTGGCAATTCCTTGTTCTCATTCCCTTCAGAGTGTTCTGTTAATTCTCTGGTCATGGAAAATAAAGTTGATAGGAATTACAGATTTTTACTACTATTTATTTGCCAGCTAGCAAATAAATTTTAGCAACCATTGGATAACCTTTCCATATTTTCCATACACCTTGATTATTTTAATATATATGTAACATTCTTTTTAATGTAACAATTTATTGTGTTTTAATTTTTTTTTAAATAATTTGTGAGCCACCTTGGGTCCCATAATTAGGAGAAAGGCAGCACAGTAATACATCAATAAATGAATGAATAAATTTTGGATAGCCTACATGACATGTATGAAGGCATGTTAATGGCGTTGCAAATTTTTTAGCAAAAGCTTACATCATGTCATGCATACCAGCTCGTAGGTAGTATGTTCAAGCCTTTGCTGACAATACCTGGCTATTATGGGATGGTAGCATTAACACTGGACCTCGCCAGATGACAACTTAATGAAATACCCTTGCTGAAAAAAGCATGTGCAATCTAAATCAAAAGCATATTCTATATAACTTGGGTTTTGGATTTCACCTGCCAAAACATTGAGACTGGAAAATATCCTGAAATATAACTTCCACATTAATGTATTTCTTTTTCCTTCACAGTGACAGATACAAAGTGTTTGTTGACTTGTTTAATCTTTCAACTTACTTGGTGCCGAGACACTGGATCCCAAAGCTGAACCCAACTGTTCATAAATTCCTCTATACAACTTGAAGCACAGACCCTGAACCTATCAGTTCTGGCTAACCAACAGACACCTGAACCTATCAGGTTGGTACTCTGACACACAGAAGTACCCTGTCTGACACACAGACTCCCACAACAGCTTCTTCTTCCCAGCTGCTGCTTCGTCACATCCCAGTGTCTCTCAGCGTCTCTCCTACTTCACCACACAGGCATCACATATTTATACAGTACAGCCCCTCCTCCTGATGTCCCGCCTTCCACTCCCCATAGGATGGAACTTTCCCTCCAAACCCATGACAGACAGGTAACATCAGTGCTGTATGTAACAGATAGGAATTACAGATTTTTACTACTATTTATTTGCCAGCTAGCAAATAAATTTTAGCAACCATTGGATAACCTTTCCATATTTTCCATACACCTTGATTATTTTAATATATATGTAACATTCTTTTTAATGTAACAATTTATTGTGTTTTAATTTTTTTTAAAATAATTTGTGAGCCACCTTGGGTCCCATAATTAGGAGAAAGGCAGCACAGTAATACATCAATAAATGAATGAATAAATTTTGGATAGCCTACATGACATGTATGAAGGCATGTTAATGGCGTTGCAAATTTTTTAGCAAAAGCTTACATCATGTCATGCATACCAGCTCGTAGGTAGTATGTTCAAGCCTTTGCTGACAATACCTGGCTATTATGGGATGGTAGCATTAACACTGGACCTCGCCAGATGACAACTTAATGAAATACCCTTGCTGAAAAAAGCATGTGCAATCTAAATCAAAAGCATATTCTATATAACTTGGGTTTTGGATTTCACCTGCCAAAACATTGAGACTGGAAAATATCCTGAAATATAACTTCCACATTAATGTATTTCTTTTTCCTTCACAGTGACAGATACAAAGTGTTTGTTGACTTGTTTAATCTTTCAACTTACTTGGTGCCGAGACACTGGATCCCAAAGCTGAACCCAACTGTTCATAAATTCCTCTATACAGCAGAATATTGTGACAGTTCCTATTTCAGCAGTGATGATTCAGATTAAAACCCTTCTTTAGAAAATGCTCAATTACCTGATCTTTATTCTTTGTTTTCTGAGTTATTTCATTTTGGCAATGTTTTAGAAATAAGTGTTAAAGTTATGATGTTCTGGATGATGTTATGATGTTTGTTACATTGTTATGTTTTTATCATGTGTGTAAGCCACCCCGAGTAGACTTTGTCTAGGGGGGCGGGGTAAAAAAATCTAATAAAAGTAAAAAAAAAAAAAGTCAAAAAAGTAAAAGTAAAGTCAAAGTAAATAATTAAAATGTAACTGAGAGCTGTTCCACGTAATGTTATACTTCATATGCTGGTATATGCAAACACACACACACACACACACATTTATGCATTAATACATTATAGCAGTTAAACTATAACTGCATTTCAGGTAGGTTATCTGAAATAAAATTTAGAAATTAAACAAACTCAGATTTCTATTATTTTAATTCATTGATTAAAACTGTTGATTCAATTACTGCAACCTGCTGCAATTTAAATTGCTCTATTTGATATCTATTGTCCTAATATCTTCTGTCTATTTACTACAATATGTGTCATTTTCTTTAATTTTGTACAGGCAAAGGTGAGACTTTGGTTGTATATAATTTTTTAAAATAAATCAATAAATGAATAAATGTGATTTGCCTTGAGAAAGGTCATCCCAGAAGACAGCATAAATTTTTTTAGAAGGAAAGTAAAATTCCAATGGGGTAACAAGTAACTGAAGAAATTATTTAGCACAATGGCTGAAATCCTGTTGGTCTACCTTATCCTGCTGAAGGCTCATGACATCAGTAGCAGCACAGGACAGAAGGGGGAAGTGTTTAATTACTGAAAATCACTACTGCCAATGAAGTCATACTACAGTGGAATTGGTTTTTAATACTTAAAGACATCTCCCTTCTATCCTGTGCTCCTCCCAGCTTCCTGATGATGAAAATGTTTATTTGAAAACCTCAGGATCTTCTAGAAAGAAATCAGATATGTTTAATTTCTGAAAAATTGCCAGTGTTGGTGACATTATCAGCTTTAAACGGTATAAAAATACACTGACAGGATTTCAGCCAATCTATTTTAAACTTTAATCATTTTATTAATATGTAGAGCAAATCAATAGATAGTGCAACTTGCTGTTGTTGTTTAGTCAAGTCGTGTCCAACTCTTCGTGACCCCATGGACCAGAGCACACCAGGCCCTCCAGTCTTCCACTGCCTCCCGGAGTTGGGTCAAATTCATGTTGATAGCTTCGATGACACTGTCCAACCATCTCATCCTCTGTCGTCCCCTTCTCTTCTTGCCTTCACTTTCCCAACATCAGGGTTTTTTCCAGGGAGTCTTCTCTTCTCATGAGATGGCCAAAGTATTGGACCCTCAGCTTCAGGATCTGCCTTTCCAGTGCAACTTACTGACTCAAAATATTAAGTGCTACATAAACAGGTGCCTTTTTTCCATATACATACAAAGAAACAGTTTTTATGCTTTCAACTTTATTACAAAAATTAGGTATTGTTCACGCAAGTGTATAAAATATTTTTACAGTTCAACTAACATTTACATGGGTGTTAATCAAAATGAATCTGTGGATCACTACCACTAACCAATTATAGTTCTTACCATTTTGTCATCAAATGTTAGTTATTTTCAAAATGCTATTCATTTGTTTGTGAAAGGCTGTTGCCAAGGAAAGAGAACAGCATTCTCAATAATTATCAGTTATAAGCCAGACTTAATAAATCAGTTTGAGTCAAGCTCATACCTAGACTGGACATACTGTCACATATCCTGGACAGTTTCATGTCAGGTTCCAGAAGAGCAAAAAAAGGTCAAGAACAGGAATGAAAGACACATCAGGAGCATGGAAATAGCAGACAAAACAGAGATGGGCCTACTGCAGCTCTCCTGATGATGTTACGACTGCTGCTTACCATTCCTCACCACCAGCTATACTGAAGCACATGCCAGCCACTCCTGAAGTCTTTGCTGCTCACTTGTAGTCCAAGAAGTCAAAACAAAGCAAAAGGGAAGAAGACCTTCTGTCCTGCCAGTTTGCAGAACTTTATAATGAGAGAGGGCACTCTGGCAGTCTGTAAACCAAGAGATCTGCTATAGTTGCTGCCAAAATTTGATAACAACAATGGAATCTCAAGCAGCAGCACCCCCACACATACACACACCAGAAAACTGCCTACTTCTGCTCTAGAGGGTGGTTCATAGAAATCAGGGCTTTAAACAGCACTGCTGATATATATATGAACATTACATAAAACATGGGAAGAAGAGGTAGGTTCCCTAATTATTCATACTTAAAATTCTGAGGTTTATTTGCAAATGCTCTAGCTTGTGTTTTGTCTTTGCAATAATCTAGTAATATGGCTGACTGTTACTACCAAATAGGGAATGGAGGTGCTGAGTGCAATTTACCTAAGGCTACATAACAATTAAATACCTGATGAATTCAGATCTCCAAGACATGAACTTAACTCTTTATCTCATGTGGCACAGTACCTCAAGACACTTCTTTGAGGTATTTTTATAATCATAAATAGAATCAAGATTACCACACTTCACACCATACCTAGGCATATAAAATGCATTACTGCTGCATAATTTGAGTATGATTCAAACAGCAGTGGCCTAGAAGAAAAATCTCCTAAGCAGCGCATTAGATTTGTTATGGTTTCAATGCACAAAGTTTTCTGGTTTGAAAATAAAATGCATTCATATTGGAAAAAGCATGATAAATGTACAAGTCCTTCATCCAGAGCAGCCATTTCACACAAACACAGCAGAAACTTCATCAGCAATTCCTAGAGGCAAGAAGATCCAAGTTACTATTTAGAGAAATCCACCTTCTGTTCCTCATAAGGAAAGTTTTTGGTGACATTCACTTTTCATGAATTGTGTTAAGTTAGTATCCTTTCATTTAAATGACCAATGATTCCAGTGAGACTCTCAGTGGCTTTTACAAATGAGTACCACCAGCAAAGAAGCTGCTGTTCTGAGATCTCATGACAACTAGGTTCAAAGAAATTAAGAGTACCTTCTGTGCTCATACAAACGTCAGCTTATTTTTTCCTCTTTTTTTTCCTTCAAAGACAGTAATCTGTAAGCTGCTCACCTCACTTCCTTCTTTAATGGGGTGTTACTTTGTATATAAGCAGACATTCTGGATAAGAATAGGATAGTCATTGATGTGTCTGTACCACCTCAGATCATTTATCTCTCCTCTTGTGAGGAGAAAAATTTGTTTCAGCTAAGTCATTTCTAGAGCCACTGCGTCCTGAGGGACAACAAAGCCCTATGCAGACACCTGGAACAGAGTTAACTTTAGTGTGTGCGAGGAGAGGAAGCAGGCTAGCTATGTCTCATCCCTTGTTGATCTGTGGAGAGCAACAGCTTCTCCATATTTTTTTTATTAGACTTCTACCCTGCTCATCTAAACCAAAGGTCTACTTCCTTTCGTAGAAAGGAAACCTTGATTTGTCAGGGTTCCAGATTAAACAAGTCCTCACTCATGGTAGACTCTCCTCCTCCGACTGTATTTTCCACATATGGAGAACAATGTCAGAGTGGATAAGTCTAGCCTAGTCCCTCTTGTCAAGTTAACCTAAGGCCACAGGAACAGGAATAATATTGAAAGGAATAATGTACAATGTCTTTGCCTGAAGCAAGTAGTTTCTTAAATAGCACAGAGAATTCTTGTGACTTTTTGAACTACAAATTCCATACTTACACACACTTTTTACAGACACCTAAATGTGGCTCACCAGGGACAAAAGGCCTAAGCTGGGCGGCTTTGAGGCTTAGCTAGGCCTAGCATCACTTGGCTTTTCAGAAAGGATGCTCTTAGCTAGCACGGGGGCAGGAAGAGGAAACTTGGATGGTGCCCTCCAGGTTAGGCTTTTTCTCCTTGCTCAGTGACATTTAGGTTTTGTAAGGTGCGTGTAAATCAGGCTGAACTCCCAGATTGGGGAATTACAGGATTTGTAGTCCAAGAAACCTAAAAATCCCTTTATTAAAATAGAACAATCAGAATCTGCATCAGGATGGCAATGCTGTGCTCAACTTACCACAGATATTGGAACCCATTTTAATATGAGCATAGCCATCTATTCCCCATGTACGTCCCCAGGAGTTCCGTACAATCCAATAAGGAATGCTACCTGTAAAAATGGCTTAAATTACTTTTTTTGGAAAAAAGAAGCATTATACAGGCTTTAACTTCACGCAATCAAATCAGGATATGGAAGTGTACACGGAATCCAATATCTTAACTAGCAAGCTTGGAGTGTTTTAAGTTTTGCCTGCAGACAGATAACAAAAGAGTATTCTATACCAAGTACAGTACAAATGATTTGACACATGAGTGAAATAAATGAGAATAAAACCAGGGACTGGACTGCAGCCTTAATTTGATGTCATTCATCATTACAGCAATTTTTCATCTGATTTGTGCACATCTCTATTTACTATCAAGAGACCATGTATTACAAACCGCTATACAGAGCTCCTTAAATCAGTATCAGGCTATCATTAACTAAGGTAGAAGCTTACTCTGGCAACCATTCAAAGCAAATGTCCCTACAGACCAAAGTGCATCCAGCAGTTGGACAGCATAGATAACTGGTATGATACAGTGATTAGAGAGTTGGGATTTGGGAAATCTAGGCTCAAATCCCTAATGAGCCATTAAATGTATTGGTCTGGGTGTCTGTGTGCTAGTTACTCTAGCCACTAGTCATTCTTGTGAGAATAATGTGGGGAAAACAAAAACCATGTATGCCATTACTGGCTCACTGGAGGGAAACCAATATATTATTATAGCTAATAAATAACATGTAGCAATTGCTTGGCTTGAACCTATCTTTATCAAGATATTCCATAGTGCATGCTAAAGTTGATGCAGAGTTTGGACTGCATATCTAAAATAACATTTTTTTTCTGTCTTGAGAAACATCCTTGCCTAGCACTTGCCTGATAATTAGAGATATAGACCACCAACAGTTTTCAAATTGTTACTGAATTTACTTATGAAATTATGGAGCTGTGGATCCCACTTCTGAATAAGCAGGATGGGGCTGCTCTGAACAAATATATAACTGAAAGACTGCAGCTCACCTGTTGTGTCATAACCTGTAATGAGAACAGCATGATTTGCTTCTCCACTGGAACAATGATGCTGTATGATACCACCAAGGTAATCTTGCCAGCTAACTGCATCTACAATTACTGCCAAAGGGCCCCAATGAAACAGCATCTTCATCATTTTATCTTCCTGGCCACTGCAAGAGAGAGAAGGAAACTTTCATAGTCACCACCAGAACGCAGCCTATCATCAGAACAATCTGCAATGGACCAGTTCCTCACCCTACTTTCAGTGTTTGGGGAAGGCAGTATCTGATCCACTGTGATGAAGTAGTTAGGTATCATTGGACCCAAATTGTGTGTGTGCGCACGTGTGCATGTCCGCATGTGTGGTTGCATGGATGTATACAGTATGTGTATTAATTAAATGTTGAAAATGTTCTTGAAATTAAAATTTGGAGAGCCACTTGTTAGTGAAATACTGCTTAGAAAATTGTTACTCTAGAAACCTTTAACAAATGGACTGATACATTTGCATGGTGCAGAGTAAAAATGCACGGGATGATTCTGTTAATGATATATTTGATTCTGTTAATCAAAGGGATCAGAGCTCTTCACCTGTTAACTCACCTCCATGTCTGCTGTGGGCTGCTGCTGCAGAATTTGGAAAGTTCATCTCTTTGGACCACAATTCCCAGAATCTGTCAGCCAGCATGAACACTGGGCCTAATAACTGGAGGATTCTGGCAGTTGTAATCCAAAAAGCTGATCTCTTCAACCTCTTTAAGGAGCAACAGTATAACTTGTGTCTCTGCTGCCACCAAATGGCAGGACTCTCTGTAACCTCTCAGCCACATAGTACATACTGGCACACAATTCTTGCATGCACATTTGTGCTGTGCAGTAGTACTAGTGGAGCTGAACCTTCTAAACTCTCTTTTTTCCTCTTTCTCTACACTAGGGATCTTGGTGCAATCACAGACTACCTGACTAGGCCTGCTTGCTTATAGTGCTAGCCACTTAACATACAGTATGTCATTAAATCTATGCAACTATACAAGTACAGTGGTGCCTCGCTTAACGATGTTAATTGGTTCCATAAAAAAAAAGTTATGTGAAAACATCATTAAGTGAAAAACCATTTCCCATAGGA